TGCTTCTCAGCTAGATGGCCGCTTGTTTGTCTTCAAACCTTTAAGACTCCAGACGCTATATCTTTTGATAGCTGGGCACCATCAGCTTTCTTCACCACATTTGCTTATGCTCACATTTTTCTTCAGCAATCATGTTGGGAAGGTGTGCTTCCTGGAATGCCAATTTAATAGAACAACATGTTCTTGCAGTGAGTAAGTGCTTGAGTGGAGGCTCAATGTCCATCTGCTGCCTTAATACTAAACCTATAAATATATGCACGTAGATCTGTTTCCCCACACTCATATAAATATATTTACACATGTACATTCCAGTCTTAAAATCTCTATAAATACCCTTTGTTACCTAGTTCTTTGCTCTATTTCCTTTTACTTTCCTCTTGTCCCACTAGCATGCTCAGACTTCAATTTCTCTCGGTTACATTGCCCTTACTGAACCCCTACCAGGCCTCTCATACCCTCCTTGCCACTGATTTTGGATCACTTGTTGCTGCCCTGTCCCTGGGTTGGTCAGCACCACCTCCTTACCCCTGCCTCCCCCATTTCTGATGTTTCCTTTAAAATCCTCCTCACAAGAGCAAGAGTGCAATGTCTCCCCGGAGTCCCACAGGAACCCAGGGTGCCATCGGAGGCGGAGGGGGCCGGGCAGGGGACTGGAGAGGGTAGTCGGCGGGATGGAGGCTCACTCGAGGCGGGCGGTGCTGAATTCTCGCTCGGGCCACCTTCTGTTTGTTGACAATATTCATCAGCTTGATGGCATCTGCACCCTTCACGTACACCACTGGTCTCTTGAGTGGGTCTTCAGAGCCCTGGTTCAGCTGAGGAGGAAGAGAGGGTTCGGGTTAGGATGCTGGAGGCAGAAAGCCCATTTGGAAATGCTCCACATCTTTAGGTCTTAACTCCCAGGGCCCAACTGTGTATTGGGGCGGCTGCTGGTTTCAGGATGGAAGGGGTGAGGTCTTTGACCAAGTCCTGGACTGCAAATCCTCCCCTCCCTCTCACACGTGGACACTGACTACCACGGGTGAGCGGAGGCAGCCCTGTTGGTGGGACCTGCAGTGCTTACCTGGTCTATAGCTTCTGGGTTTTCAGACACATCGAAGATGACAGCGGTGGCTCCGCGCTGCACTGCTCGCTTGGCCTGGCAGAGGGAGAGAGCACGTGGGATGTTCTGTTAGGTGTAAACTGACTACAATTTAAAAAACAGACACAAATAGAGTAGTGTGCAGCTCTCTAGTCCTCTCCCTACTGGGCGCTGGTATGGAAGGCCAGATGGGCCTGGATTCAAACAGAGGGCCTGACAGTCCCAACTTAAGGTGACTTTGGCTTTCCCAAGCCTCAACTTACCCATCTCTAAGAATGGGGAGAATGCCACCTACTGTGTACAGTTACCCTGGGGATCAGAAGGCTTGGTTGGAATAAAGGGAAAACCACTGGGCAAACATCTCCGTCTCCAGGGCAAACATCTGAAACCAACTGCAGGTTCGCACCACGCCGGGCAGCATGGGGCACTGCCTGGCTGGAGCACACAGAGCCACCGACAACCGAGCAGACACAGTGGGTCCCTCTTGTATGGCTCCTGCTCTTGCCCTGCTGCCCATCTTGCAGCAACCAGAGGGTATATCTCTCCGAATGAGGACTCGCAGCGGACCCCTGTGAGAATAGACAGAAGCTGGAGGCCGCTGGTAACGTCAGCAGGGGCGAAAACCATGACAAGTGAGAGAGGAGACGGAGCTGGGTTGGCTGCTGAGCCTGGCTGCCCATCACCAGCCACTTGGGAAGTTTTGAAAGCCGATTTCCTGGCTCTGACCACAGAGACCGATTCAGCAAGGCTGGAGTGAGGCCCAGGAAAGTGTGTGCTTGGCGTTTCTGAAGGGCTTGGGTGACTCAACAGCTTGCAGGGAATGAGTGATCAGAGCGAGGGTGAGGATATCTTAGGGATGGATGAGAAGGTAAGGGAATGGGAACAAGCCTAATACTCAGGATGTCAGATGCAATCCCACCCTTTCACTCAGAGTCCAGGCTACCTCCCAGTGACACGCCAGGACAGAGCAAAACTGCCCCAAACTCTTGACAGGAGTAGAAAGCCTCAGCTTTCTCCCTAGGAGTGGCTGATGGTTTTGAACTGCTGACATTGCAGTTAGCAGCCCAACATGTGACCAGCACGCCCCCAGGGCTCCATGTCAGCCTTTAGGATGTGGAACAGGTGCAGGGAGTGTTTTGTCCTTTTGTACAGAGTTGGAACCTATTTGATGGCACCTAACAACCAATAGCAACACTACCTCTACCTCCACCTTGTTGGAAAAGTAAGAATGGGGGGACCCGTCACCCACAAAAGGAGCAAATAGTAGCTACTGCTCAGAGGTCAACGATGTCCCTACAGTCTAGAGTAAGTGAGAAAAAAAATAAAATCACAATTTTTTCCAGTGAACTACTTGCTCCCCCTTTGTTCAGCCTAAGAACAATCTGTGAATGAGACTGTGTCAATGGCTCCACCAGCCCACTAGAGGGCAGTCTTGTCCTGTAACTTCTACACTGAGCCCATGGCTGTACTTAGGAGCTGGAGAAGGACAGAAACCACATGGTCAGTAGAATCAGCTAGGTCCTCATCCCTGTATGTGCTGAATCTCGGACGCTGCTCTTCCCCAGAAGGGGTCTCCTCTTGGTAGGACTGAGACTCAGTGCATCTCAAGCCCCCACGCCTCACCAGCTGAGGAACCTGCACCAAGAGGTAGAGCAAGTCCTGGGAGCTTTCCCTGGCTATGCCACTGGCATGTAACTCCAGCTTCTGTCTCCCCACCTGCTAGCCGCAGAAGAGGGATCCTAGATCATCAGGTTGAGAGTGCAGCCAGCATGATCCAGAGAGCCCTGAAATGGCGGGTGGTCTCCTTAGCCAGAGGACTCAGTGGCACAGTAAAAGTGACCCTGAGGCAGCCTCAGTTCTGTCCCCCAAGCTCCCTGTGGGCACAGCCAAATTTGCTTGATTGAGGTTACCAAGGCTTGAGAGCCCTCGAATTAGGAGTGAGTGGTATCTTCCTCCCAGATGGCATTCCTGGCTTTCCCACCAGTTCCATCCCTGGAACAGCAGTGGCCCGAGGGAATGAGCAGCAGGGGCATATCAAGAGAGAAATGTGTGCTCGCATCCCTGACTGGGGACACTGGCCCCTCTCTGGAGTGTGTCAGGGCTACACAGGAAGGATCTGGCTGGTGCTGCCCCTCCCTGGCTGCAGCCCAGCCTGGCCACACCAGGAAGCACCAAGGATTTAGAAGTTCCGATTGTGGGTAGGCACAAAAGAAAGGTCAAAAAATCAAACCCAACCAAACAACTAGAAAGGTTGCTCAATCTCTTAATTTTCACATTGTACCGAACAGATAAAAATAAACCCCAAATCCAAATCTGTCACCTTTGAATCGGTTCCAATGCCCAGTGGACCTTCTAGAATGGAGCAGAACTGCCCCTGTAGGTTTCCACCTCTACAGAAGCAAATGCCATGTCATCCTCCCAAGGAACGGCTGGGGGTTAGAACTGCTGACCTTTCTGTTAGCAGCTGAATGCTTAACTACTGTGCCACCAGTGCACCTCAGGTCAAAAACTAAAAAACAAAGGAAACACCGCACTTGCTGCCATGAGTCTTTGATGGCAGCAGGCACCGCCTCGGCCTCCTGAGGAGCCGCGGGTAGCTTTGAAAACCAATGCCTAACCCACTGCACCACTAGGGCTCAATTAGATGAAAGCCAGCTGCTTAAATGCCTATGAAGCTCCAGTGTGGTCCCATTCAAACAAGTGCACACACAGGTTTCCCGAGAGAAAATGCTCACTCTCCCTCGTGATTTATTTTCAACAGGACGTTAAATGTAAGAGGCTACCAACACACGTTTGTATTTCCGGCACAAGCCAGGACTGGACAGAACCGTGTGTGTGCTGGGGGTTGGGGGCACCCAGGACCCTGTTGGGAACTGTCCTGCCAGGAGCCAGTTCAGGACTGAAAATGCCAATAATAACCCCCTTTTAGAAAATGACCTATTTACTGTCATTTATTGCCCAAGGCAAAAAAACAAAACAACCTTGGCTTGGCACACTTAGCCCCTTGCCCTAGATTTTTGGTGTAGAGATGGGGGGGGGGCATGTTCCTGAGAGGGTCTTCAAAGCTTAGGGAAGTCTCTAAGGCTTGGGCCAGAATCTTAATGCAAAGCAAATCAAAGCCACAGGCTTGGGAGGTCTTGCGATGGCTCACGCTCTGTCTTGATAACATCAGCTACTAAGGTCCAGAACTCTCCAGATCAGGCGCCTCAAAGCCAGGGTGGGAAAGGGGCACCTTGGGGCATGGTCAGATGAAGGTCACAGGGGATGCAGGCCTTGCTGTGGCCTACCCATCTTGTTCCCAACGCAGCTATATCTTTACACCATTCACCCTGCCACTGACCAGGGGCCATTCAGCAAAGTCTTTTCTTTGCACTTCCAGGGCAGCTATCAGAGACTAGACAGTGTTCAGAGTTCCTGGGGCAAACGTCCAAAGCTGAAGGCTGGCACACGCACACATTCTGCCAGGCAGAAAGTTTCAACCCTAGGAGATAGGGCTCGATGTGGCCAGGTTGAGGCCCATAGGGTTATGTAATTCACATTTATTAAAAATGAAATCAGGCAAGACCGCCGGGGGCCAGAAGAGATGGCTCTTGAGCACGGATGTGGCGTTCTCAAAAGGCAGTGCTTCTACCAGTGTGACCGTATTTAGAGTTTCTCCATACAGCTGGTGCATTCTGATGCGATGGGAGGAAAGCTTCAGGCCCGGAGTTGGCCACTAATCAGGGACACATCTCCACGGAGGTATACTTACACCCAGACTTAAGTTTGGGGCCCAGAGCCAAGGGGACTATGTACTCTCTGGTGGCATAGTGGATCACTCTTTGAGCTGTTAGCCACAAGGTCAGTGATTGGAACCCATCATCCATCTTGGAGGGAGAAAGACACAGCTGTCTACTTCTGTGAAGATTTAGTCTTGGACACCCACAGGGGCAGTCTGCCCTACCCTGTCCTGCGGGGCCGCTGTGAGCGTGTGTGGTTTGTGGTTCGCTTTGGGACATGGCCTCCACTTTGCCGTGTGTTTGTTCCTTGGTCAAGCACTTGGATGTTGCTGTTCCAGGATCTGTTATGAAAGGAAACTTTAACAGAAGATGGATTTACGAGCAACGAACCAAAGAGATCTCTTTTGTCCAAACTCCTGAGCAGAGGGTGACCGAGGAGGTGGAATGCTGAAGCGACTCTGAGGACACTTCTTCATGCTGTCCAAAGAGTTCGACAAAGAAGGGCTGAGAGTACACTTTCCCCAGCCTTGCCCACCCCTCCTAACTCCCAAATAAGCTTTCCCGCTGGCCATTAAGTATTCTTGGTAAATGTTTTTAATGGCATATGTTAATTTAAGTATCTTGTTTGAGCTATTCCACTTACGATAATAAAAGTTTCCTCAAATAGATCCTGGCTTACATTCCTGATTTCCTTAGGATGGAGGTCCAACACCAAAGAATATGACCATGACTTACCAACAACAAGAGCCAGACCCACTGCCCTTTAGTCAATTCTGACTCACAGCGACCCTATATGCTATTTCCAAGGCCTTGCAAACCTTTCTGGGAGCATTTGCCTCATCTTTCTCCTGAGGAGAAGCTGCTGGGTTTGATCTGCTGACTTTGCAGTCAGCAGCCCAAATGACCTGGACTCCTCGTAAAAAGGATTAAGAATAATAATCTATTCCACATAGAATTTCATTATCAATTCGACTGTTCTTTATCCATGTGAATGACCACATAGGACAGAATTGTCAACAGAGTTCACTTCTGGGCACAGGGGGCCTGCATGAGCTGGCTGGGAACAGGCTGTGGTTTGAGGAACGCTCTGTTGATGCTTCGTTGATCTCTCACAGGCAGAAAGATGGCCCCACATGACATTAGGGTGATTTGGTCACACCTACATTAGGATGATTAGTTCTTTGGGGTCAAATTCACTTCTCCCCTCTCCCATGTTTGCAGTTGAAAACTTTAAAGAGGCAAATTCCAAAACTAATTTTCCTCTATTAGATCATCCACTATCTGGCCCAGTCTAGCTTGGATTGGATTATTCTGCCTCTTCCATAGAGCGAATGCTTT